CGCCTTCATAGCCTTGTTCACAAACGCATCTGCCAGCCTCGCATCGGGCGTTCTGACCACAGCGGACGTCACGACAGGGGTCCCCTGAAAACGAATGCAAAGTATGTATGGAGCATGTTAATCTACCATTAGAATTCCTCCACTTGAAGGTAATATTAAGGAAAAGAGAATATGTGTTCCTCGCAATTCGATCTCTTATAAATTGTCCTTGCCGTCGGACTACAAGTACCATCACCAAATATCCGACGCACTACAATACTCAGCCTAATAAATGCAAACCTGATTGAGCTGCTTACGTTGGTCTTCAAATACCGCTTTCTAGCAACATTTGCCATTTGCACACTGCATGCTCAATGGACATCTCTTCGAGAGAGCTTAATGGCTGGCGAAACATCCATGGAACTTATGCCCTTCTAGATATTGAAATTCATTTGAAAAATGTCTTGATGTAGTCTACTGAAAAAAAATGGTTTTCATTGACAACTTCACTAATAATGTCATTTTTCCGAATACAAAATTGGATACATTCAACTATAGGCCTTATATATCTCATTTTAAACTCCAAATAGCACAGACATCCTGCATCGGATTAAAACTAATTGTTAATCTATAAACTGTAATTAAAACCTGATGACTCAATATTCACGTGTTCTTTGCAGTAGAAGCAATTACTCTACCTGATCCTGCACCTCCACATCGAGCCATGCATTCCTCTTCGGTCTCAAAGTTGTTTGCATTACCAGCACAACCACCGTATGTAAAGAGTTGACAGTGTCCGGTCTGGGGATTAAATCCGTAACGGCGAATGAAAGCACGGCAGGGTCCAGTTTCCAATGGCAACTCACATAAATTGCCACTGCTTGCAACTGTAGAAACATAAATAACACGATAGTGACATGCAAAGTCTACGAAAGTCTTAATTAGTCAGAGGCATGAACATTTAATAGGGGAACGGAGGACGCCACGTACTTAAAAAGTTTAGTTTGGTTTGTTTCCATTTTTTCAACTCTGGCTAATTCATCAAGGTCCCTTATTGACGCCCGTGCCTTCCAGTCCCCTTTGAATTATAAATTTTGCTAAATCCGAGTCATAGCAGACCGCTAGATGGTCTGGAATCGGGAACTCAAAATAAATTCATGCTATTCTTGCCCTTCGCATGGCTTAACGACAGTTATGCCGGAACTGGCATTTAAGGCGGCCGGCTACTATTCTAGCCGTATGCATATTGTAGAAGGATATATTTGACGAACTCGAAAACTCTTATGAGAACGGTCATGAGTTGAAAACTGTTTCCTAAGACGATAGTATTCTGTGGGAAAACAGCACATATACAAAAAAGCTGTACCGTATTTTGGCGAACGTTCACAAATTTAGAGTTAATGTCATGTGACGGGATATGCAACCACAGCTAACTACGGTATGCTTAGTATAAGTGTGTAATGAAAAACAAACAAAAAGACCTCCAACTGCAATAGGAAGAAGACGAAGAGGATGAAGGCATAGAACAAACGAAACCTGATTGGACTGGTCGGCAGCCGCGCTCAGCATCGCCTTCATAGCCTTGCTCACAAACGCATCTGCCAGCCTCGCATCGGGCGTTCTGACCACATCGGACGTCACGACAAGGGTCTGCTAAAACGAAAGCAAAGCACGCATAAAACATTTCAGCCTACAAGTAATATCCTTTCCCCCCCCTGAAGACACTATTAAAATACTTTAAAAAAACTGATTCCGGCGTTTCCAAATATTGTCATTTGCCCTCGCCGTCAAAATTAAAAACAAAAATGTATACGGCCTTATGTGCTAGATCGTTGGCCTTGATGAACACAGACCCGCTTCAGCTGCCTACGTTGGACTTCAAACCTACCTCATTGTCACATCTGTCGTCTGTGTGCTTAAGTCACAGCGAACCCCTTTAAGGAAGCGCTTCCAATGGTGGCGCATTATTCATGGACCTTACGTAGCTCTCCATATTGAACTATCGTATTTTAATACTAATATATTAACCAAGTCTAATTGAGTAATTTTTTGTATTATTTACAGCATCATCGACAATGTGATTTGCTCCATATGAACCTGATGTCATTCAAACATAGGCTTTAACTGTTTCATTGTTCTTTGCATCACTAGCACAGCCACCGTATGTAAAGAGTTGGCAGTGTCCAGTATGGGGATTAAATCCGTAAAGTCGAATGAAAGCACGACATGACCCAGGTTCCAATGACAACTCACATAAATTACCCCTGCCTGCCCCTGTAGAATCACAAATAACCTCAAATCGACTTGCGAATTCTACGGAACTGAAAATACTAATTCAGGGGCATTATAACCTGACGGCGAAACCGAGGACACAGAGTGTTTACGAGTTTCGAATTGCTAAGCGCATCTAGGCGACCTAGAGGTGAAGTGTGCTCAACATTCTACAGAATATGAATGGCGCAGTGCGCTGAATGCTGAGTGCTGAACTCTAGAAATGTCATATATAGTTTACAATGATTCAACCACAATAAAAGTAATCGAACAGTTCCCGAATCGCTGCAGATTTATTTGATTTATTGATTTGAATGCGTCTACCTAATGCGCATTCACGAAGAGATTACTTCAAAACAAATGAGCTGCCTTTGAAATTTAAGAAGTCGATTGTATGGTTTTGGGTAATATCCATGTGAATTTATGCCGGACAATCTGGCGAATACTGGTGGTTTGATACTTAGCTTAAGAAAATCATATTCGGTTGCTTTTAGTAGTTTTTATAATCGCGAGTTTTATTTTGCGCAAATCCATGAAGCCCGCGCCATGTTAGTGGGTCTGTTTTTTTACTGTTATGACTTGTCTGGAATGGAACTAGGAGTCACATACAAGGATGTGTGGCTTATGATGTGATCCGTGTCTCCAGTTAGATATCTAGAGGCAGATAATGGTCTTATACCGGAATTATATTCATAGATATAAACATACTCCTTGCTCGAAAGTCTAAATTGATCAATTTTGCACGCCAACTGTATGCCAGTAAATGTACAAGGCTGTGCAGCCCGGCTCAACCTCTTTCTTTCCGTTTGTGAATCTTGTGTATGGCGGCATTATCTGTTCGTCTATTACTCCGGATAGCCCGATAGGTATGACACAGATATAAGTACCCCGTACTACACGTGGTCGTGCGCTATATTTTCATCGCGTACCCAATCCCAATTCCAAGCTTGTTCTAACTCTATCAATAATCCTCCTTACCTTAACCTTAATGTTAGTCATAGCTTTCACTCTAGCACGCATTCCCTGGAATTTAGCGCAAAGTTACCATTGACTGCGTCTTATCCTGCGGTAGTTTAGTGTTGGACATTCTGCCAAACTCCTTAATCTGACGAATGGACTTGTGGAAATGCGCCTATTCCCACGATCATTCATCTAACAGAAAGGCTTCTGAGTGCAACTCCACGCCGCTGTCATGAGAGCGGGCGCCGTGGTTATCGATTTTTCGTCATAGCTGGTTGGTCCCCTGTAGCCGACGCCTGCTCATGGAGCCGACTGAATAAATACTCCGCGGCCTTTTGTAAGAGGACTTGCTTGGTATGAATACATTTTCCCCCCTGGCCGACTAACTTTTCTCCTTCTCTCGTGCGAAACACCTTTCACCTATTAAAATTTAGAATAGGGTGATGTTCCAGGTCTCCCACTTGAAATCAAACGGATGACGGAAGTAGTAGTAGGCCGAGAAATTCTTCACTGTTATGCTCTTGCTCTATTTGAAACATCGTGCATGATTTGGAAAATACCACATGTGAAGGCTAATGTCAGACCTCATCGCAGTAATTGATTCACAGTAAACCATAGATGGTTCTTGGACTCAAAACCAGATCGGTGCATAGCGTTATGGTGGGGGCCGGCATTTATTTGAAAAATATGTAAGTCCTACTTGATTCTTTTCTTCTGCATTCGCGCTCAGCATCACCTTCGTAACCGTCTTCACATATGCACCTTCCGTCTTCACAGCGAGCGTTTCTCCCACAATGGACATTGCGGCATCTGTCAGCTAAAAGGATTAAAGAAACCATGAAAAATATTCAAAAAGGATTTAGAATAGAGGGGTCTTCAGGTAAGTAACTCAAAGGGAACGCATAATATTTGAATGCTGTCCGACTGAACTGGATGTGTCCTCATTTCGGACAAGATTATTCCAAATATATTAAATGCACTCCGATTCAGTCACCATGCGACTACGTTGATGGCAATACAAACATGCTGAAAGGTGCCTTTTAAAGCAGACAGAAACGATTTCAGCCTGACGAAGGTAATCGTGCGCAAGGAGTGACTTGCCTCGGGAAAGTTTCCGGGAAAGCCCCGATAATCTAGTCCTTCTCCTCGCTGCAGATCAAGTGAAAAGTCTTTATCAACGAAGTTCACAAAAGTTTTTCTGCTGTGCACTGTTCATGCACCACTAAGAGGCCCCTTATAGCACTTATGGATTTGCGCACTTTGTGTGGGCCATGCTGTACACTTCACAAGCGGCAAAAATAATAGGACAGATAAGATAGTCTATGAAAAAAATTTTCACGTCCTCATAATTATGAATTATTGTGGGTTGTAAGATGGCCTTTTATCGATTGTCTACCTTTAAGACGTACCCTTCTATCACAAATGTAAAAAAATGACATTTATATTGCCCTGTTCTATAAACTATACCAGGATTTGTAGTACCGGTAAAAATAAATGCGAAACTTCATACTGCTGAAGTGCAAATTTTAGTAAAGATAGATCTCGATGACGGCCGAAAAAATGCAGCTCTTTCAAATCCGGCCTCCTGTTATGACAGAAATAACTTGGAATCATGCTGAACAATAGTCGGTACCGTTACCCCGTCTTAGTTAAAAATTTCTGATTGAAAACGCATTTTCAATTTTCTAAAAAAATAGGAGAAGTGCCTTTAAACCGTTGTACCTTTCACAAGATACGCATAACTTTGAAGCATGTTGGTAGAAAGCCTTTTCATACGGTGTCATGCATTTTGTCGAATGTTCGTGAAGGGGAAAGTCTTACACAAACGGAATACTGTCAACAATCCGCTTGATGAAAAAAACAGTTTTCCAATAAAGGATGCTACCTTTTTTCATTACTTTTTTTCAAAATTAGTAACTGACAAATTTTTATAATTTGATGCACGAGGCAATAGGAATGCAAACGATAGTAACTTGGCAGTTCAATCCAGGAGCCGAAGCCAAATAATTTATGTGGCTGGACTTTTTAAAAAAAACACTGGAGTAAACACCAAGTGCAACTGGCGCATAAACCAACAGGTACATTCCAAACTCAGCTGATATGAACGTATGATAGCGTGGGTTACTTGGCTAAGCATTGTATTATCTAAAAGTGTTCATGTGATGCCTGTAACGCAGTATGCGGTGGTCGACTGATAAAATGTGCATTTACACTCGTTCATGAGTACCACGTGTCCACATATACCCTAGATAGACATCACACTGCCTTGAAGAAAAAATCGCAATGCCAGGGCCTAGAGAGGTGAGCGTATTCCTCGAGGTCGTGCACTGGGATTGGTTATGGATAGGTTGGCATATTGATTTTCATTTCGCATACATAATTTAAGGAGTATCAGAAACGACGACAACTAATCAAAGTATGGTGAGGTCAGATGGCGGCCGTTTTCGAACGCAAGCACCAATAACGTTATGGTGAATGCTGGCATATATTTGACAAAGATGTAAGGGCTACCTGACTCGGTTCTTCTGCACTCGCGTTCGGCATCACCTTCGTAGCCGTCTTCACATATGCACCTTCCGTCCACACAGCGAGCGTTTCTCCCACAACGAACATTGCGGCATCTGTCAGCTAAAAGGATCAAAGTGA